ACGGCGTAAAACCAAACTCAGTCAGTCAGTCAGTCAGTCAAAATAATAATAAAATAATTTGCATTCTGAAGGATACGTTATACCAAATTCTTGCCAAGAAATGTAAAGTTCATTTAATTCAAGTAGTTAGTAAACATCACAGTACAGTACACTACATGATCTTAATACTTTCCAGGACCCTCATATCTCCTGTGAGGACCCACGAAGTTAGTAATTAACTTTTAACGCCACACTCAGCAGTATTCCAGCTGTATGGTGGCGGTCTGTAAAAACATTTTCATGTCATTTTTGTTAATGAAAAACCTCTTTCACGAAAATATAAATTAAAAAAAATTATAATGGATTTATTTAGTTTTTTGATTGATTGGTTTTTGTTAATGCCGCACTCGGCAGTATTCCAGCTATATGGTGTTGGTCTGTAAATAATTGAGTCTGGACCAGACAATCCAGTGATCAACAGCATGAGCATCGATCTACGCAATTAGGATACGATGACATGTGTCAGGCAAGTCAGCGAGCCTGACCACTGATTCTGTTAGTCGCATGGGTTACTGAAGACCAATTCTATATGGAGTTGGTTTTGAACTTTTATCCCAAACAGGGCTTGTGTTAATTTTCGAACCCTGAAATTATTTAGAATCTGCAATCGAGTTTCAGCACACCACAGTTATTTGTCAGAACACTGATACAGTGGCAGAGATGCCAACGTCTACGATTTTATCGTAGTCGCTCCTAATTTTATCCTCAAACTACGCCAATACGATAGCACTAGAAATTCTACGAAATTTGAAGAAAATTCATTAAAATTTGGATATCTAGACAGAAACATATTTTCGTTGATTAAATACATTTTCGCTAAAAAGAGACAACAACAAGAAATGTAATGCTGATGATTTGGAAATCTGCATTTGTAGGTATGTGAAATTAAAGATTCACTCTTGATTTGTGGCATAATATCTTTCTCAGAATCCATTGTGATTTTAAGTATTTAGTTGACTACTAATTTTATGGTGAAACTACTAAATAGCTAATGTTGACCCTTGAAACTACTATTTGCAACACTTTGGGGTTGGCATGTCTGCAGAGGTCATGATATACTAAGTGTGTTACTGTAATTTTGCAGATGATAGTGTCAAGCATATGCTGAATCACATCTGCGTTAATGTAAATGAATATGTTTGAGTCACATTACTTCCAAAGGCACTGAAAGAAGGACTGGTAAAGCCCTCATTTTAGATGTCACAGATGTCATGTTCTGAGCTACAAAATGGAGCCAAGATGACCTAATCTTAACATTCCTGACTTCGGATCTGCTAAGATCCAGGTTAGAATTGATTTTCTGCTACCCAACCAGGATGGACAGACTTGGTTGACGCATGTCCCAGTTGAGTTTGAATCAATCAATCAATCAATCAATCATACAATCAATCAATCTTGCTGTGTCATTAAGTCAGAGTTTCAGTGTCTAACTTCAGCCAGCTAATACACAGGTAAATCGGCAGTGCTATCAGTCTAATGACTCACAATACATATTTTTTAAGAAAAGCTGGTTAGTTGCAATAAAGTTTTGTGTATTGTGTCGCATTCCAGATGATCTGTAAATCACATGTTACTTATGAAAACGGGCATGGATGGCCAAGCTGTGACAAAGATTCGGAATTTGCTGTGCAGACTGCAGAGTAGTATGGAAATTCTACGATTGTGGCTTCTAATCCAAGATGAACCCTGAATATGTTTCTCGGTTTGTGGGTTTCATCAAAATTGTAAATATTGAAGACGTCATAATACACCTTTCTGTTCTTCATCAAACTGACAGACAGTGAAGTTGGACCGTTCAAAATTGCCAATAAACCTCACTAAGTCACTCACTCTTTCCTTTTGAACTATTTCTAACATCAAACATGTATAGAGTACAAATACATTTCGAATTGTTGGTTATTGGCAGTGTGAAACCCCTCAACATTGCTGCTGAATGGAGTTGGACTCGTACATCAGTTCAAGGTCATCAGTGTGATAGTTGTGCGATACAATCTCAACATTAAATGAAAATAAAGAGAACATATTAAATATGTTCTCGGGGAGATAAACGGACATAATGTAACATGACATGTAATGTTATCAAATCAAGATGTCTTGATCAGTGTAACCCGTGAAGGTACGGGTTAGAATAACCCTTAATGAACCCATGCTTGTCGCAAGAGTCGACTAACGGGATTGGGTGGTCAGGCTCGCTGGCTTGGTTGACTCATGTCATCGGTTCCCAATTGCACAGATCGATGCTCATGTTGTTGATCACTGGATTGTCTCGTCCAGACTCGATTATTTACAGACAGCCGTCATATGGCTGGAATATTGCTGAATACGGAGTAAATCTAAACTCACTCACTCACTCACTCACTCACTCACTCACTCACTCACTCACTCACTCACTCACTCACTCACTTGATCAATGTCATGTCATTTTTAAGTGTCCTAAGCATTGAAGCAATGTGATAGATCACTCCAATCAACCAACAATAAAATTCATAACCACTGATAGTCGTTCAGATGCACATACAAATATTCATGAGGTTTGGTCTATATGTCACCTCCTTTTGGTAATATGGTCAATTTTGACATCAGATGGAAGTGCTGCTTTTACCTCTGGGGAAATCCAACGTGGTGAAATTGCAGGAGCACAATAATGACAGGGTTCACTCTCACTTAGCCAGAGTCTACTCAAAAAAGCTCTTTTTAAGACAACATTGCATGCTAAATTTATAAAATGACTGCACTGAAATTAAAAGTTCTTTGTCAAAACATATATATGGAAAATGTAAAGAAATTCAAACAATACCATAATGCTATCAATATATCCCACTTTAATACAAATTTCACTCGTCTCCCTAATTTAGCATTTTGTGATACAGACTATGGCTCATCTGGACTAGGTATTATCAAAACACTAACCCTAGTCAGCCAAATCCCACTCTGGCTATGTGAGAGACCTGTTTTGACAGAATCTGGCTAAGTGAGAGGACATTGAAATGTCTGTTTAGGTTTGGTGAATAAGTTGACATAGCTCAAGCCCTGTAAATTCATGTTTCAGCACACCTTAGTAACATAGTAAAGTGGTCTTATGATGTAGTTGCATCTTCTCCCTCTTCTGGTTTTGTGTCCATTGTTGAATTTATATGTTCAGCATCTATGGCAAGCCATTTTCACATTTGTTACCAAATTACTTACACCTTTCTTTGTTTCAATGATATCTTAGAATAAATGAGATATAACTTGAATTTAAGCTATTTTGAAATGAATAAAAGTTACAGAAAATTGTTGCTTCCTGCAATGGCATTAATATTTTCTGAAAACTATTGCTGATACCTTAAATTTATGTTACAAACAGATGTCAACAATTTATTGAAAGATATCATCAATTATCTATGATACCTTTAATTTGATTCTTCACATGAAAACGGTCAGAAATGATGCTCTGTTGAATATATTATATTACCGTATATGACCGACCATAAGTCGGAAATTTGATACCAGAAAAAGGAGCTAAAAAATCAGAGCCGACTTATAATTGAGTTCATTAATCTACCCCCCAAAAACATGGTGTTTGGCAAGAATTTTGATGGTTGAAAAAGGGGCCTGACTTATAGTCAGATCTGACTTATAGTCGGTCATATACGGTAGTTCTCGTATTGAATTAACAATATCTTAAAGGATTAAATGAAGTGCGAAAATGATAATCCTTTGTGTTCAAAGCATATCATTATACTGCGTTTCATACACAGGTTAAGACTGGTTCATTTTTCTGTTACATTGACTGATAGGCCTCCAAAATGTCCTCAAAGTTTTTTTTTATGGATTAGGTAAAATGTCCCTTTAAAATTTGCTACCATGACAGCATAGATTGTTGTTGATGCTATGAATTACTGGTTTGCCTGGTTCAGACTTTACACAGGTTGTCTTGATAATTTGGTAGACCCTTGGGGTTTCTGAATGGGTCATTACACAAAGCAACATTACATACCCATGGATGCACACAGTCCATGAATTATTCCACACCAACATGCTTATAAACTTAACAACATCCTTAAATAATATGCGCATGTTTGTTCAAATTTCTACACTGTTTTAACTGTTTATTTCCACTGAAACAAGATCCAATTTACTGAAAGTGAAAGAAAATTGATCTGAACTGATGCTGACAGTGGGATAAATGAATATTGAATAGAGAGTATGTCAGATTTTGTTTATGAATATTTATTTAAGTATATGAACATTATCTTCAGCGAGTACACACCCTAACTGCACCAGTAGACAGAAAGCATTGGTGGAGTAGCATAGTGGTTAAAGTGTTCGCTCGTCACACTGAAGACCCAGGTTTGATTCCCCATGTGGGTACAATGTGTGAAGCCCATTTCTGGTGTCCCCCCACCAAAATATTGCTGGAATATAGTTAAAACGATACTCACCCACTCTTTCTTGCATGATTAGCTATAGCTATTACTGGTGTGGCCTTGAGCAGTGATCACTCTCTCCATTGCTGTTCAGTTTTTATGTATCTTTACAGCTGTTTAAATACAGTGTGGTATTGTTTATTTGGACCACATAAGGCTGGAAAGCCTATCTTTTTCAACGCATAGTTACACAGATAATCATCTACCAATGATTCGTGTATCTTCAAATTCCTTAAGTTGACATTAAAGGAATAAAATGAGGACTAGTAGGCTTGGGAGCCAGTATAATGTATCTCAGTAGTGTCCGTCTTAAAACTCCATACCTGCCAGAGTCCCTTGATTCAAATCACATAGCAGACCTCAAGTACTGCCTAAATATCGGACACTGCATGTGTAATGCATAAAGATTTCACTGCAGACAGCGCTCACCTCACCTTGAAGGTATACGGTGAGTAGTTTAACACTGAAGTATCACTTGTGTCCCATTATAGTAGGAGCATAGGCACTTCTGTAATTATGAATGGCACTTTAACGTCTTTGTTTTGTATTCAGCGTGAGAAAGAGCGTGGTGGAGGTGACCCTGACAACCCATTCGGTGATGACGAAGATGCTGACAAGTTGGAAGCCATTGCCAAGGCATTTGAAGAGAAATATGTAGGTTCAGTGTTAACACTGTTTGTATAGATTATGATATACTGAAATTGAGAGTGAAATTGTGGAAGAAGATGACAAAAATATTTCCTATCCCAATTTTAGTTTGTCGGTCTCACAACAAGTCATGACCTTCCCTCATCATGGTTATTGCTGTTAGTTTCAGGGACATATCTGTTTTGTTTATATCTAAACACAGTATTGCAGGTGGAATCTGTTGAAAACCCCACAATCCTGAATTCTTGATAAATAATAGTAAAGGTGACAAAACACATTTACTATAAGGTTTTACATGACGCGTGATTCCTGTGTATTTGACGCAACAATTTTCTAAAACACTCACAAAATTTTATCATATGAGTCAAGCTTGACGCAAGTTTTATGAGTGACCCTCAGAATTCAGTTCAATAAAATCGATTTGATAAACAAATCGCATGATAGCTTTCGATTTATTGCAAACTGTATTGAAAACGCTCGTGATAATCACAGAAAGTACGGGAACACCGAATGGCTAAAAACAGAGCCATGCTAGAATGCTGTAAAGATCCCAGCCAATAGCATTTGAGTATGTCATTCACTATATTTAGGCAGCCAATAGCTGTTGAATACGTCATTCGCTATGTTTAGACTGTTTTGGTCATTTAAGCATTGTCTGTCCTGTTAAGAAACTGGTTGCTTGACTCGTTTTTCGGTAATGAAAGCAAGAAAAACAAATCTCCTGACGTTTCTAATGATGAGCACTAAAACCATCTGCAAAAGCATGACCTGTGATATGTGGATTCAAGCAAAAAATAAATCAAACACCTTTACATTTGGTTGTCAAAATTTTCAGAAGTCGACATGAACGAGACATCAAGCTTCTAAAGATCACATTGATGCAGTTAAAATTCACGAAATGCAACAGCATTTCAGCACATCTGTCAAAAATGCAGAAAATGCAGACTGATGGTCACATTGAACAAATGTTTACTGTTTATGTGAGGGCTAAAAAATATCCCTGCTTATACTTTTAAAGATTTGATGAATCTACAAGTTATCAATGGTGTAGAACACTGCAGTAACTTTTACAGAAATTGTCATGTCATTAAGGAATCGATCTTCCATGTCCATACCTTGGCCTTATGTTGGATGAGACTTGTGACATCACCATACAAAACGAGCTTGCAATTTATGCCAGGTATATTGATGGTGAACTTTCTGGGTGAACCTGCTTGTATACAGTATACTGGACTGTGTTATGACTGATTTGAACAGTGAAAAATATACTGTTTATTAGCAAATCATATATATGACAATACAACACTAAACAACAAAATATTTGCAAAAATATATTGCTTTTTGATTCACACAAAGAAATAGTACACTAACATTTTCATGACTCCCAAATAATAAAAATGACTTCCAAAAATAAATACTGTGAGTCAACATGACTCCCATTTTTCAAAGTCTGTGTAATCAAGCATTGTAGCTGTCTTTTTGGTAAACATATATTCAGATTGTCTTGTCAGTTTAGATGCAATCTGTGGCAGACAAAGTAGATTTGGGGATATACTTAATGAATTTCCCTTTTGACAATTCAAATGTCATCTTGCTTGGATAATGTTTTATGTACGTACTACTACATCTAATTTGATAATTCACGGCCAAAGAAATGTTTATTGTTATTGAGGCTTCCATGGTCCTGATGGAAACTAAGAAGGCAGAAAATTCAGTTAAAAATATTTTGATGAATCAGTCTTGTTCATATTTAGCATTTAATTCCAGGTCTGCATAGGTAATTTGTAGTTATACACATACAGTATAATTAATTTTACCTTTAATCAATATTGCTGACTTGTGGGGTTGATATCAAAACTCTATTTTCCAATAAGCGGTAAACCTGCTGTTGTCCGGATGCTATTGCGGCCCCGATTCTGTCACTTAGGTAATTGTCTATTTCAGCTTGTCCCGATTATTGACAGGCCACTCTGATAGAGCTGGAATATATCTGACTGCAGCATTTAACCACATATAACAGACAGTTTTTATCATCTCTATATTTACCCTCAAAGGTCATTCTGCAGATTCAACTGGTAATTGCTTTTGCAGGGTCCAAAAGTGAAAACCAAGAAAGGTCGTCCCAGCGATCGTCTCCGTGACTTGGTGGACCTGGGTGATGGCTATGATGAGACAGATGCCTTTATTGACAACTCGGAGGCTGTGAGTATTAGCATTTGATTAGTCATGTTACTATAGAAAGATTGGTAATAATAGGTAGGGCTGTGTGTTGGCAAATAAATTGTGTTCCAATATATTGCGATATGTACTGGGATAGATTGGGAGCTAAGGCGTTTGACAGTGTGACATTGATTGCACATGTAGATCCTATTTTCTACATACTAAAGCCCTAAAAATAAATGTTATGGTTATGATAACAGTAATCTTGAATTTTGTGGGATTCTATTTTCTTTTCTATAAAAGTTATTGTTTGTAAATTATGCGGTTTTGTCAATGAAATACAATGGGAAACTTTGTGTGATAAAAAGTTTGTGTAGATTTTAACTATAACCATAGAGATAGTTGTAAAACTTTGTATATTTCTATTACCCAATATACCGGTTCTGAGAAAAACAACATTGTATTGCGTATCATTTGAAAGGCGTATTGCGATATACCGGTAATACTGAGCAGTCCTATGTCATGTTAAACTCACCAACTGGAATAAATATTGTAAGGAAAGCTTTTGTTCATACCAATGGGGAAGGTGGAGTCATCGGTCGGGGTTGTGAGTTGTTAGTTGGACTACCTCCATGGTGCTGTGGTTAGAACATCAGCCCGGAGAGTGGAAGGTCGTGGGTTCGATCCCCAGCTGTGCCATACCAAATGACGTTAAACTATGGTACTTGTTGGTCCCTGCCTGGCTCTCGGCATTAATGGGTAAAACAAGGACTGGTTGGCTTGGAGTCAGTATAATGTGTCTGAGTGGGGTATTCATGCTTAACTACGGCATGCTATCTCAGGACCAGCATAAATTTTGCACACCAACTGTGTAAACATGAATTAGTACTCTATTAACCTTGAAGTTGTACTATATTAACACTGAAACCGTTTGTACTTTATTAACATGAACTTGTATAATATTAACTAGGGGTGAAACAGTATGTCGGTATTAGTAGAACCGTGATATTTTGCCTTCGGTTCGATATACCATAATTTAATAAAAAAATGGTATTTTCAGTTTCCAAACCATTCTTCTATCTAGACATAAAATGACAGTTTTGTTCATTCAAAATAGCAAAGATTATGGTTCTTTTTTTCCATTAAACAATGTAAGGTGTGGCCCTTGTCAATTTTTATGCATTATGATCATATCTAGCATACCGAACTGAAACAGACCAAACCAAAGGCCTTGTACAGCAATACGTACTGTACCATGGTAGGAGCATACCATTTCACCCCTAGTATTAAAATGAATTATTTAGTATTGTATTAAGTTTAATTAGTACTCTATTAGCATGATATGTTTTGAGATTTTGTATTTGCGATGTTGGGAGTTGATTAGATTATCAGCCTCTGAACAGGTCTAAATGAATTTGGGCTAACTTGATGATCAGGAATGATTTCATATTTTGAAATTAAAGACCATAGAATTTCACTCTAATCAATATGTACAAATGGTAAAATAGTTCCTGTTCATATATGAAATCACATTATCTCTGGCACTGGCAGTATTCATCATCAAAATTCAATGCTTCTCTCTGTAAACTTATGTTATTGATATGGTACTTGCTGATGAAACATTTAGTGAGCCAGTTGTCTTGGTTATTTGAAACCTCAAACAGAATTATTTTTCGACTGATTTTGACTTGATTTCATGAAATCAATCTGTTAACGTCTTGCCTTAGGATTGAGTTGCATAATTGCTTTGTGCATAGAGAACCTCCTACATCACTGATTCATTAACTTCTTGGAAGATTGAGGACAAATAGCAACAGATTTATCATTTTGTTAAAACAGGTGCCAAAAATTAGTGAAAGGTTCCCTGAACAAGAGGTCTTGCATCTTATATTTAGTTTCAGGAATTTATCGAGGATTCCAAACTCTTGCTAGGCAATGGTACAAAATTAGTTATTATTTTGCATCAGTTGGTGAGGGTGTGCAAGTTGGCTGTTAAAAGCTGTAACATAGGCTCTTGACAATAGCATAAATATTAATTGGGACATTTTTCATTCCCTGGGGACATTTGTTGACATGCTGCAGTCTTGTGGTCGAATTACAACCTCTGAGTATGTCTTAATACATCCATGCGTAGTTACTTAAAGACTGCCTCTATCAGTCTTATGGACAGCAGTTATTCTTTGGAAGAAGACAGCTGTTCTCATCCACATCATACCAAAAGTCCTGATCATACTTGTTGTCAGACTTGTTATATTTGGGATTACACTTTCTCAGTAAAGTACAGATTCCAGTACTTTCTTGGGTTGAGTCCCATCCGGGATTCAAAGCCACACCCTCAGAGTCAGGCACCTAATTGCCAGCACACAAAGTCAGCCGCCTAACCGACTCAGCCACTGTAGATTCCTGGTAGTTACTCTGCCTGATGCTAAGTATTAACAGGATAAAACAAGGACCAGTCAGTACTCTTTGAGGCATTCATGATAAAACGCAGTATGGTATTTAACTGTTGAGCGCGCTGTAAAACGGAATTACCGGGACTAGAATGTGCAGTCACACACACGTATAAATACACATCACTATGTACGTACAATAATCATGATGTTAAGCCTCATTTCACCTCATGCTACCTCACCTACAAAATGTTTTGGTACTAATTAAAGGTGGTGAAAAACAATATAGCTGCCAGTTTTACCTACTGTTGCACAAAAAAATAAACAACTTTGGCAGGTAGTTAAGAAAATCCATGTTTCCATGTACATGGCTTACTTGTACATGTTCCTTAGACTGATGCCTAGTTATCAAACAGTTGCATGTAGAAAGAAAGTCATTTTATTATTTTTCTGTTCTGCTGTCTGGCCCCAGACAACTTGATCAAAATGTTGTAGGATCTGTTTTGCAGGGTTTTGCCTTCCCAATGAAACTAGCGGTAATAGTCTGTGGCATGCACCCTTGTCTGTCCATGCTAATTCTGTTTGAAATTACTGATGTTGATATTGAGCATCAGTGCATAGTTCATCCTTCCCATATGTACTGGACCGCCTCCGTGGTGTAGTGGTTAGAGCGTCCGCCTGGAGAGCGGAAGGTCGCGGGTTCGATCCCCGACCGCGTCATACCAAAAGACGTTAAAATATGGTACTTGTTGGTCCCTGCCTGGCGCTCGGCATTAATGGGTACATCAAGGACTGGTTGGCTCGGAGTGGGGTATTCATGCTTCACTGCGGCATGGTATCTCAGTGGGCTAGCACTATAAAACCAGCTTCAGTCTGGGGTAGTACAAGCAGCCGCACTTACACATACACACGCATGCATGTCGTCATATGAGCTGAAATATTCTCAAGCACGACGTAAAACCCAGTTTCACCTCACCTCACCCATATGTACTGCCATCATCAAGTTCTGTCCATCCTTCATGATAGTTTGAAACATTGTTCATGAATGAGTCGAGTCGAGATCACTATATATATATATATATTTCTTCGTTACGACAGTATGATGAGATTGTTCCACGTTGTTTGACTACAAAACTTGGAGGATTCTACATCAACGCAGGAGCTCTTGATTTCCGGTATGCATCCGAAGACTCCACAGATGATTTCCAAGGCCTCAAGAGTTCTGGCATCAAGAAGAAGAGAAAGATCAGGGTAGGTGTCAGGTGATATGATTGGCCATAGAAAATGTATGCTCAGGCTCATGTGACACTCTCTTGTTTGTTCTGCAGATCTTTTACATATTTTCATCATGAAATGATGATAATTTTTACACTTACATTTTTTCACAAATTGCCCCTTATCCTGTTCTTTGATCTTGGAGTGGAAATTACCTTAACAGCGCTTTGCAGCCTCTAGTAACTCATTGCCCCAGCACCACCCTGACCTAGTTGGTTTGTGCACAGTCACTAGAAGTCCGTGCACTACATGTGTCATGCTCTTTGCTGACCATGGGACTCCTGTTAAAGTCTTGTTTTTTGTTTTGTGACTGTTGGGTGCATTCAGTCTTTTCTTTGAGGGAAAAATTTCAAAGTTGTTTTATAAAAGTTCAATGTTACTTCTTTGATATTTTTCTGTGATCAGTTGATGTTTAGTTAACAATTATCTCTTGTCTGTATGGTGTTGGGATAGTCTAGTGGTTAAAGTGTTGGCTCGTCACGCCGAAGGCCCAGGTTTGATTTCTCACATGGGTACAATGTGTGAAACCCCTTTCTGGTGTCCCCCACCGTGATACTGCTGGAATATTGCTAAAAGCGTCGCGTAAAACCAAACTCACTCACTCAGTCTCTATGATTGGTATCGATAGCCAGTAAAAGCATGTACTGTATTCCTCCTATTACTCTGATTACTTGTGAATGAATAAGGCCACACTGCTGTGTAGCTGCCACATCACACAGACACCAACATCTGATACAGCCATGCAGCCATCGTCTCTCCACATTGCTTCATTATGTGTGGTTGATAAGTTTCCCACAAAATTCATAGGCAGAGTATGGCTAATTTGACTTACATGACACCTAATTTCTTGATTTTAAATACACACGCATCATTTAAACAGCACATTTTTAGGAAGTATATAATGAAAGTCAGGTGCATTGGTCAAAGTAATAAAGTTATACATAGCCAGTACGCATAAGTATGGAGTTCAGCTCTATATAAGATGCAGCACTGTTATACCCCATCCCAAGCTTATCAAATAGAAAACTGGTGTAATTTTCTGGAATTATTTCATTTGCCACATGTTTTCAGGTTTTGTCCATACACAGTTATTTCCCTTGATCCATGTTAGCTTCTTTCATGCCAAGAGTCTGCAGTGTGTACATCATGGACAAATTTCAATGGATACTGTTGGAATTACATAAAGAATATATGCTAATTGATTTAGAAAAAGTTGGCTCTATAATATTCTCATTCAATATAAGGGGCCTTTTGTGTGTTTTAATTTCAAATTTTATCAGGTTTTCTCACGACCTGAAGACATCCATGTGCTCATTTCTTCTCAAGGCTTTATGTGTGCCTGATGGGAGGGGAGGGAGCAGTAGTGGATCAATCTTCTAAGGTGCCTTAATTTGCTGTGCAGATTTGTGTCTCTTAAACACAAGAGAAACCTATTGTTTGGGGTTAAAATCTCAGTCCTACCTCACAGTTATGTGTCTCCGTTTGTTAGCACCATTCTTCTTCTTCTTCTGATCGCGGGGCGGTGGGGTAGCCTTGTGGTTAAAGTGATCGCTCCTTTTAGCCGAAGACCCGGGTTCGATTCCCCACATGTGTACAATGTGTGAAGCCCATTTCTGGTGTCTCCCGCTGTGATATTGCTTGAATACTGTTAAAAGCAGCATAAAACTGTACTCACTCAGTCTTCTTCCGATTCCTCTGAAGTACTAACAATGTTTTATTTGTTTCATGCTGGTAACTATGAATATTTATTTTTCCAGACAATTGAATCAGACTCTGACTCGAATGCGGAAGTCAAGAACAATGGTCCCAAGGTAGGTTCTCTTGGGTTTAAGAACAGCGCTTGATTTTGAGGAAATGAAAGCCACTTGCACCATGTGCAACCTTTGATAACAACCTTGTTGCACGAGACAAAAAACAAATTGCATCTGATTCTCATCATCAAATTATTCAAATTGCTTTGGTTTTGTTGTTGCTGATTTAGAATATTATACCAAAATTATTCTTGGTAGGATGAGATCATTTTATCGTTTTTCATAAAATTTCATGACACAAACAGTAACAGTCATTCAGTCACTGTCCGTGTAGTCATCAGAGTTGATGCCTCAAGCCAGTCCCTCATCATTCTGGGGCGGTGGGGTAGCCTAGTGGTTAAGGCATTTGCTCATCACTCCGAAAACCCGGGTTCGATTCCTCACATGGGTACAATGTGTGAAGGCCATCCCTGGTGTACCCCGCTGTGATATTGCTGGAATATTGCTGAAACTTAAAGCGCTGTAAAACTAAACTCACTCACTCACTCCTCATCATTCTGTTTTCCAGCTGAAGTTCATGTCATGTTCTTTGACTAGCAAGATATTAACATGTAGTGGGTGCAAGTTTCCATATATATGACCCATTTTGCAGTTTTAGGTTGCAGCTTTGTAGGTTCTAAATATTTAAATTGAGCCATGAAGAATGAATTCGGGAGGTTACATATGGCTGATTAGACTTTGCTGTGCCTAAACAACAGAGCTTATACCATCCCAGGTTCATTGGTTACATTGGAATGGTTAAAAAATTGCTTCATGAAATGAGTCTGAGATACTTTCACAATTCTGGATCTTGTTTTCACCTGCCTGTGATTAGAAGTCGGTATATACGTCTGAGTATATTTCCCCTTGATTTCATTCATGACCGAATAGTGTAACTTACTCAAATCAATTTATATCATCATGTTATACAAAACTGACTCGCGCTGAAGCTGGTATGAATTACACCCACATAATGAAGATGGCTTGATTGTAAAGCTGAAAAACTGAATACTACGGTGTAAGACCACACTGGTTCACTGACTTGCTCGATCCACAGAAGCGTAAGCTGAAGGAGGGAGTTGATGGGGAGAAGAAGAAGAAAAAGAGGCTGGTGATTGGTCCAGATGGGGAGAAGATTGTGGTGAAGAGAGGCAGGAAACCGCTGGACAAAAATAAACTCAAGTATGTTTTCTAACTATGGTTACTGTTATTACTGGCAGCAGTCTAAAAATGTGAACATTAAATTAATCACTAAAATGTGAATGTTGTTAAAAAATTATAAATATTCTCAGAAGACATCAGGGTAGAACTAATATAAACATGCTACTTTTTGCAGTCTGAGAACCACTTCCTTCTTGTTTTCGGCTGAAATCAGTGGACATGATTATACCATTTTCCTGGCCTGATTGAATACTAAACAGAAATTGTGGTATGCAAACATTATTTGAAATCAGTTATTCAAGTATTAACTGGTTAACTTTCTTGCTATGTTATTTGTGCACCATCATTTTGAGGATGTGAAATGAGATTATAATATTATGTTCAGGAAAAAGACTTCCCCAACTGTGTCGGAGCTGCTGAAACAGCAGACTGCCTCCATTTCCACTCCAACTCACGCTGTGAATGGTGGGGGTGGAGGTGGAGGTGATGGCAGCCGTCCAGCGGAGGAGGGCTACAATCCTTACGATGGCATTGGCAGCACTATTGAGATGCTGCTGAAGGAAGACTCGGAGAGCAGGGAAGGAGATGATGACAAGAAGCCTGAGACTATTGTCCCACTACCTCAGGGGCTCTCGGATAACCTTGTGCAGACCATCAACAGCCTTAGGAAGGTAGAGATGCGTTATCATGCATTCTTACTATCGCTGGAGCAAGTGATGAATCTCACTTGTGTCAGCAATTATTGATGGACTTGGGAGACTAATTAATGTCTTTAAAGAAAAAGAAACATCAAATTAAACTTAAGAAAGTATGTTTCTTATTTTGTTATGTATGTTAATTCAAGACATAGATGCAAGACATAAACAGATGCAGTTTCCTGAGTCGTATTCCTGTAATGTAAACAAGATACTTGTATGCTTGTGTCATTAAGATCCTTGATCATCATGTCGCGTTTCTTGTGAGATAAATGCCACTGAATGCTCAGACTATCAAACACTGTGTTTAAATCCCATGAATGGCAATGGTTCTTGCATGTGCGTGATAGGTCATAGTCTTGTAACCATGACTACACATTGCATCACACTTGATGAGAGTGGTTTTGGTATGTTTTTTCAGTCTGCCAAGGAGTCCAGAGAAGGAAAGTGTAAATTTTTCTCACCGAACGTGAACAGGATGTTGTTAGAGTGAGTTATGCTATCATTTATTTTGAAGCATAAATACTGACCAGAAGATATCCTTATCTACAGTACAGAATATTTTGACTATTCGACTTTGAATCTGCTCACCCAAACTAACACATAACAGATATCATTTGCAATAGATTAAGGTGTGTGAAATATTTTGTCAGCCATATTCTCTACACCCCGAGGCTTATAGAGTAATATATGTGTGGGGTATTATTGTAGCGTTGAGGTACAATCCCGTCAGCTGACGTGCGGGAACCGGTCCACCATCTTTGCCCATCTTTCCTGTTTCCTGCCATGTGGGAAGGAGACACTGTTGAAACGGGCCAAGAAACTTCGTCAGTCACAGCAAGATGATCTTCTCCGTGACCCACTCAACAAATTGAAAGAAGGTTGGATTTTCTGTCTTTAGTAGGGTCCATTTTTGCTCAATTCATATCTTGAATGGTCTCAATAAAATATGTATCATACATGAAGTTAAAAACATTTGCAGCCAGTAGAATTTCTCAGCCTTCGTCTGGATTTTTCAGCTCCTAAAATACATTTGGGACCATATACATCATTTTAAAATTAACAGATATACAAAGATTGAAAGCAACAAAAAAGTACGCAGATTTGTCTTTGCTGTTGCAGCTGTAAACAGCATGATGCCGACACTGTTGGAGAAATATGATGCAGAGAACCAGCTTGCCGTTCTTATGAGGTAAAGAACACATACCTTGACATGGGACCAGTGAAGGTCTGGGTTAAAATTGATCTTCAGTGACCCATGCTTGTTGTAAGAGGCGACTAATGGGATTGGGGGGTCAGGCTCACTGACTTCCTTGACACATGTCATTGTATCCCAATTTCGTAGATCGATGCGCATGCAGTTATATCACTGGATTGTCTGGTCCAGACTCGATTATTTACAGACTGCCACCATACAGCTGGAATGTTGCTGAGTGCGGCATAAATCTATACTCACTCACTTACTTGACATGAGCTTTTGCCATTCCTTAACAGAATCACAAGTTTGAGGTTTGCAGGTCTCTTGTGTGTCACATATTATTCTGAAGGTGCAGTGCTTACTTGTTTAATGATGTATGTTCTTCCAGAATGGAAAACAAGGAGAAGGATACAGACCAGAAAGAGCCAAAGGAGGAAGGATCGACAGAAAGTGATGAGGAAGAACAAAGAGGTCCAGATGGAGAGAAGAAGAAGAGGATAATGGGACCTCGTAAAAAGTTTGAATGGACAGACCATGTCAGGTTTGTTCAGATTTCCATCATGGATGCTTTCTCAAGCAAACTTTACACTGGAATGAAGTAAATTACGCTCTCTTGTCTCAATATATTATCAGCAGTATTGATTTGCAGGGCTCCAGATAACTTTTGGGGTGCGAGTGTACTTACACATCATATTGCAAGTGGAGGTGTACTGAGAATTTTGAAGGAGTACTGACATGTTTTTGTGTGAGCGAGTTGGTGATGTGGTTTGTCTGGACGATTCATCGATCACTATTTCGAACCATGTATTTGTATTTGAAGACGCGTGAGAAATAACTGAGCGACCGTGTGATGCACGAAATGTCAGGTCCGACTGGATATAAATAGGAACAGTGTAGTTTTTAGCCAATCGAAAAATAGTGACGCATATTGTTGCATGGCAACGCAAGTGATTCCTACTGTCGGGTTTCCTTATGTGTCAAATCGTGTTTCGCAAAAGAAACTTGACAAGTATTTATCCAAATTAGATTTCCATTTGCACGATACGCACGGAAATTAAATGTTAGACGTACAAAGGTATTTATGTGCGTACACGATACACTTGAAATCTTATATTATGTCGTACTTAATTGATTTTGAGGCGTACATTACGCCTGTACGCCCCTTATCTGTAGCCCTGGATTTGGATTATCTCTTTACTATTTTTGTTGACTTTAACTTTGAGAGACAGAGAAGAAAAGACAAGAAAAGAACATACAATCCAGTTGTAACATGAACCTGTCAAAAACTAGTGGGCCGACTCAGAGGGAGGGATAGGTTTTGGCAATGATGTAACTTCATACTTAGCAGGTTTTGACATGCATTTTCAGGAATCTGCTTTGTGAGGTTGTAAAGGTCAAGATGAAGACATTTGCTGCTGCTAAGCAGAGAGGGCAGACTGCAGAAGAATATATACGATTCTTCCTCGGCGCTGACGTACTTCCGATATGGCCAAAAGGCTGGATGCAGACCCGGTTAGTACTGAACATCGCAGGGTTTGGTCTTCTGGGTGATTTTCCTGTGGGAACCCCAGGCATGGAAGGGGCTACTTGCACAAAGTGATTTTAGTACTACTGTTATTCCCCTGTGTTGAAGTATCAGTAATTATCATAAAACGATTATCACTGTGAACAAGAGAAGGCAGCTTTCAAATAAGGTAATAGTAGTCTGTATTCTGGAGTACTCAACATTCAAGGCACAAGTATTAATTACAGGCTTGTTGTGAAGGACTTTGTCTTGTTGACGCATAAAAACCTGTAGAGGGGAGATAACTCTGGTAATAAAATGTATTGCATTAAATTTGGATGTCTTCAAACAGTTTCATTGTCTTGGATTGTATAGATTTCATCATTTGATTAGCCACTGGAGAGAAAACCTCTATTGGGTATATAATTGGAGAGGAAGGGCAAGACTTGAGTCACAGATACATGTATATCTATGAAGTCATGTGAAGTTGTCAGCCCAAGATTTGTTTATCATAGATATCAGATTTGATTTACAATGTATGCATGTGAGAGATTCTATGTTGTTTGTACATATTTTTTGTATATATATTCTTTACATTTCTCAAATAGAAGTGGTTTGAATTTAAAATTTGAAAATGAAGTGTCATTCTAGATAGCGATTTCAAAATATATATCTCTTGTATATATCTTTTGTATACATAGTTGCTACTGAAGCCATGCAACTGATGCCCTTATTACCCTTCAAATTTTTCATGAAACAATGTAATTGGATAAAGATTGTAAATTTGAATCTGTGTTGTAAAAAATGTCTAGCTTACATGTTGTATTTTTATCGTTTTCCATGCACATAGAATGCTGTATAAAGAAAGCAGAGCTGCTCATGCCTTATGGACAAATCCGTGAGTTTACTTCTCAGTTATAAGATAGATTAACAATATAGCTGTTGCACTGTTTGATAAACAATGTGCTCCTTTGTTGAAAAAAAGTGACATTTTCTATTTTTTAAATGGTTAATAGTAAAACTTTCATTTAAAAAAATAGTGTAAAAATGTACTTTCAAATGGAGAAGTCACTTAATCTGTTAACAGGAACTGATTCAAGAGATTTCTCAGACAGCTACCGTGTTATAGTTGATGTGTAATTTCTCTGCAGTTCTCCATGATGATCTTAAATTGTGACAGTGTTACTTGTTAAAGTGCATGTTCAGAATGGCCATGAATTTGTAGCTCAGAATTAACTACAGCACAAATGGCGTGATGTCATCATGATATATGTGAGGAAAAATTAATCTAATCATAAAATTGTATGGAAATATTGCCATTATGTTTTAATATTGCAGTGTCTTTCATTTGAATAATATTGATCTAATGCTGGATGGAAAATGGGGTTGATAAAGCATACATTCCTCATTATGTAGGCACATGTTTGATTTCCAACATGAGTGAGTGAGTTTAGTTTTACGCCGCACTCAGCAATCTTCCAGCTATATAGTGGCAGTCTGTAAATATGAGTATGATGTGTAAAGATCTTTGCTTTGTACCTTATACCCTCAATGATATTACTAGAAAATGTGTTAAAGTAATACAAAACTAGGGGTAGCCTAGTGGGTAAAGCGTTGGCTCGTCACGCCAAAGACCCGGGTTAGATTCCCCACATGGGTACAATATGTGAAGCCCATTTCTGGTGTCCCCTGCCGTGATGTTGCTGAAATATTGCTAAAAGAGGCGTAAAACCAAACTCACTCACTCACTCACATGGGTACAATGTGTGAAACCCATTTCTGGTGTCCGCGATTGTGATATTGCTGGAATATTGCTAAAAGCGGCGTAAAACTAAACTCATTCACTTACTAATACAGAACTATATTAAGTCATTTGTGTAGAAATAGTTTGAAGAGTTCAGTGAAACCTTTCAATGAGATTTTTTTCTCTTTATATTTCTCAGTCAGAAACCAAGGAAATCCCTTCAAAACACCAACAAGACTGCGTCTCCAACCCCTACCTCTGTGCCCTTTGGGGCCCGAAGCAATAACAACAGCATCATCGAGATATTTGATTCCGTTGACAATGATGCCTTCAAAGAGGGATCAGGTTCTGACAAGGAAACAGGCACCTTGCGACTCGAAGACTATATGGACATTACAGACGTGGACAACATGTTGTCTGAAATCAGTAAAACTGATAATGACTCTAGTATGCCCACTATTCTGGATTATGCAGACAAAATGAACACAAGTGCTACAGGTTTTACCCCAGACGTTAAGAAAAATACTGGGGCTGTGGATAGTCCACAAGGGAGGCCACATTCCACAGGCCAGACTATGGCTAGTGTGCAGAAAAGTCGTGATGTGAAACACGGACTGGTAACTGAGATGTTGCAAAGTCCTCTTCCATCAACACCTAATACTGCTAAGTTATCAACACCCAACCTTTTATCACCACAAACTGAAACTGTTACCCAGAAAAGTGCTTATATGGCTGAATTTGAGAAACATTTAATGGCAACCACAACATTGAAAGAATCACCTCCAAAACCTCAGGGCTCCCCTAATGAGCAATCTGCTTCGTCTAAACTGCAGTCAATGCTGGCACAAGCACAAGCCAGTAGTGGCCAACATGTGAAACAGAACCTTGCGACTCCTAAAACCTCACACATTGGCAGTGCCCAGCATGACCAAGGTCTCCAAGACATTCAGAAAAAATTGGCTTCATCCCCTCAGGCTCATAACAGACTCTCCTTGGGACAGAACACTGGCTCCAAACCACTTCAGACCTCTCATAAGACATCTAGCCCACTGAGTCAGAAAATGCAGGGCTCAACCTCTCAAACTCTTCATAACCCTCACTCTTCCCTACCACACAAACTGTCACTATCTCAAGGAACGAAATCATTGTCTGCTCAACCTCAGAAAGCACCATCTGTTCAACAGCAGAAAACACCATTGTTCCAGCAACAGAAAGCACCATCACTCCAACAACAGAAAGCACCATCACTCCAACAACAGAAAGCACCATCACTCCAACAACAGAAAGCACCATCACTCCAACAACAGAAAGCACCATCACTCCAACAACAGAAAGCACCATCACTCCAACAACAGAAAGCACCATCACTCCAGCAACAGAAAGCACCATCACTCCAGCAACAGAAAGCACCATCACTACAGCAGCAGAAAACACCATCAACCCAACCACAGGTTGCTGGTCTCCACAAGAAACAATATACTTCAGAAACAAGGCAAAAGGTGGAGTCATCTGCTCCCAAGGACCTGGTTGTGCCAAGCTCTTTGTCCACTGCTTCCATAGACCAGGAGGCAGTGAAGCAGCTGCATCAGCAGCTTCTGCAGTTAGCCAATGCTCAGTACAAACCTCCAAGCAAGTCCGTCAGCAGCAGCAAGGCAGGGCAGGATTCCGTTGTGGGACAGTTGTTTAAACAGCCACTTCCCGCAAATATGGCAGCTCAACAAAGGCAGATGCAACCTGGGAAGACCTCAGTCACGTCTGCCTTAAAAATAGACACTCAGAGCTCAATGGGAGCATCACCACAAAGACATTCCCCACAGGATCAGTTGAGAATGTCCCCTCAAGGTCAGAGACATGTGAGTCCAAGTCAGAAGCAGACATCATCTGTGCATATGTCTGGAGGATCTCTTCATTCCCCTACCAGCAGTAGGAAATCTCCAGGTGAAGTGTCAGGTAAGGTTCCAGCTGGTATGGGTAACCAGCTCTCCCCAAACCAGGCACGGGCTATGCTCAGTATGCAGAACCCAAGTGACAGTCTAGCTCATGCTAAAAGAAGTGCTATTGCTAATGACGCCTTATCTAGGAAAAAAAATGTAGAGAAATCAATACTAGAGAAAGTGATCGAAGATTATACAATGGAGATGAAAGTGAAAGAGCAGCAGCAGCAGCAGCAGTTTACTGGCTCAGGGCAGCTGCAGGTGACTGCTCCTGCCCTCAGTCCATCTCAGGGATCCTTGCCTCGAACAATGTGGCAGCAGACTACAGGCAGCTCCCCAACATCCACTGGCACCAGTCGCATGTCGGCATTCAGCCCTCCCTCAGGAACCAACAAACCAACCAAATCTGTGTCTCCAATGGTTATGCCATATATGCAGCAGCGGAGCAGGCCTCAGGACTTGATAACAGGTAAGACCAATTTTAGGTGTTGTTTAAAAGGTAAATGACCTTTACTTTAGTCCTGCTGAAGAGTTCAGGTCTAAATAGTGCCATTGAGTCTATTGCTTTTCTTGAAAAATGAGAAAGATGTGTTTGAATTTAGTGTATAAAACTGCTGCTGCACACAAACAGTATGAATGAATGATCTCAAGGCAAGGCAATATGTCATGCCAGGGGAGGTGGAACAGGTGATTTCCCTCTCAGCTGTCTGGGTCCACGCTTGAGCCATAGAACTTGAATATTGCTAATTCTCTCACATCCATGGTGCTTCAATTGACTTCAATCATCCTGCTCATTAGAAGCGAGTCAGATGTGGTAAGACCCACCATGTTTAAAGAAGTCTTCTTTCCTTCAGGCAACCGTGTTTCTGCACCCCAGCCTGCTCATAGCTCAATGTCCCCAAATGCTACTGCCATCAACACATTTCCCAGTCATTCCCAGCCACCAGCAGCTCATTCCACACTGCCCGGTAACCAGCACCAGATGACGGGTGAGTCCAATAAACTGCACAGCTCAAGCTTACAACCTAGAGGATTCTCACATGGAAAACTTACAGGGCCTTGTTCAGCATATAATCTTAGCTCTGCTACTATCATATGTATTTACTTGAGATATAGATTGTCATAGTGCTGAGTTCAGATTGAGTAACAAGGTCTGTTTTTTTTCATGTTTGTTACCATTAACAATAATATGGATTTGTCGGTCACATTGGTTGTTGTGTACAATGAATTTGGCTGACTGCCAAATTATCAGCTGTGAAATTGTGACAGTGATGCTCTTTAGTCTCGTACAGGCCACACTGTTGTGATACTTCTGTAATGTTTTTCCAAGGGTACTAAACATTTGTTCACTCACTCTGACATGCAATTGGTTAGGATGAATGTGCACTTTAGGCAGCACAGCACACGATAGACCAGCACAGTTACTAGATACTAGAACAGGGAATACCTTCAGTCTAGAGATGAAGTCCGTCCAGATGGACGATATGTTCAGCTTCTCATTCTCTGTTTTGTACTTCCTATCCAACATAAGTAACACTATTATCACATATATCACTTAATCATAGCAATTGTGGCTGTGTTCATGGTTGTCTTATGACTTTTTAGGGAATGATAATTTTGTCATCATTCTTACCATACCTAACTCTAAAATGATTCACAAGTATGTCCAAATGGACAAGTCCAAAGATACTTTAAAACAACCCTGAAGTCCAATGATTGTGTTTTATTTGGCCCTGAAAACACTATTTTTGATCTTGGCTTGTCAGAAAGGCTTGAGTATATATCAGATGATTAGTTGATCTGTGCAAATTTGACTCAGACCAGACAATGCAAGAAAGGAATTACATTCTCTACAGCAATAGAGTGTTCTCATCTACTATACAGCTTCAAGGCTTTGCTTTTGCATTTAACATGTTTTGCTTCTTGCTCTGATATAACATGATGTGTCTCCCATTTTCTTTACCAACTCACATTGTCTAGTTTTATCGAAAAAGGATTTAAATTCTTTGTTTCTTTCGTCATTAATGTTACATCATTAAACCCATTGAAAATGTGAAGAAAACTTGTTTCACTGGGACAAATATGAGTTGTACAGAGTAGCTGGGAGACGCATTATGTTGTCAGGCACTGCTTTCTGCCTTTCAGGGTTACCTCCCCCTCTCGGCAGCCCACACCTCTTCCTGTCGTCTGCCACGCCCACAACCACAGTCGCTGCCATGTATGGTAGGACACTGCCAGGTAGGGGGAGAACTCGCTGCTTTGCATTCAGGAGATCTGTGTCTAATCTAGATGCTTTCAAATGTAGAAGTTATATTTCATAGTTGATTGTCTCCCTTGTCACAGTCTCTCTTTCATAGTGAGAAACAGCTGATTCTGTTGTGTGAGTTTTCTTTCAAACCATAATGCTTGCATATTGATCAGGATTCTGTTCATGCTTGACCTGTTAATGAAACTGTAGATAGTGAAGATAGAGTAGTAAAACTGCTTTTGCTGTTGGAAGTAGCACTTCCAGTGTTAGTCACGGTTTAAGGTGTGGCCATTCAATATTCTTCTGGGATGGGGGATATTTGTTTTTAAACCACTGCTTTAAAACATACAAACAGTTCCTCTGCATGGAGGAGCCAGACATATTTAGTATTGCCTGCAATGTAATAATTTATGGACCACTTGGCATTTCAGGTGAACTGTATATTTTAATTGTAACACCAAAGGACACATTTTGGTTAATTTTAAGATCTTCCCAACCCCAGAATATTAAATGGCCTGCCTGTGAACCAAGTGATGTGCATCTCTTAATTGTTGTATGCGCATAGTAATAACCTGATTGTTCCATTCTGAATGTACAAGTATCGGAAACAAGAGTTATGTCCCTTACACTGCCAATGATGACAGGATTCTTCAGCGATTGACACGATTGGCCATGTATTCAGTGCAAATATGGTTTTTTTCGTGACTGAGGTCATGCACTTTTCACAAAGGCACTTGTAAGTGTACTGTGTATGTTGAAATACTGCATTGAGGTTAGAAGTTGACATTAAAACCAATCCAGTCTTCATCAACTTGGTAGAATGTTCAGTCCTTTTCAAAATTGTTTTTTCCAATTAACCAACCTTAAACTTATTTGCACTGAGTCCAAGGTCTTGAAATGACTTAAGTATGGACCAGTTATTTGTTGGTGTAACAAGTTGGATTTAGGTCTTAAGAAACTCTTTATTTGCTATATGAAGTCCTATGCTGGTATCCGTCGTGTAGATATCCCTAAATACACAGGATAATAAGGGATGGTGGGGTATCCTAGTGGTTAAAGTGTTCGCTCGTAACGCCGAAGACCGGGGTTCGATTCCCCACATGGGTACAATGTGTGAAGCACATTTCTGGTGTCCCCTGCCGTGATATAGCTGAAATATTGCTAAAAGCGGCTTAAAACTAAACTCACTCGCTCGCTCACAGGAAGATATCTCAATTTCAGTTCCGTCTGTTAATCTGGATCTGAATCTGAATCACATGCACTTATCGTAAGATTGTTTACTAAATGATTGGCTCAAAGCAGACCATGTGCTGAATCTCTTTGTATTTTATTTACGTTATCTAACCACCATCTGAGAAGGCTTTTGATAGAAAAGTGATCATTCTTCTTGGTCTTTCAGATCCTTCACACTCTCCAAACAGATACTGAAGACTGGGACACAGCAGCTGATATACCAGGGATGTGATGCACACTGTAAATAACCCCACTGACAGTGTAGGGTATCTTCGTCTGTCAATACTACTGTCTGAGATAGGACATTACTGAGATTGCACTTCAGTACTGCCAGCTATAGTGATATCATTTCCTACCTGTTCATACAATCACTCAGTGAGACATTACATTTCCATATGTGCTGTTCATGCCATCTAATGCAGGCAGTATTTATATGCTGTTGCAACTAAGCTATATTGTATCTCTCAAGTAAGGCCAGTTTTGTTTCTTGCCGGTCATATTTTTTCGAGAATAAGAAGAAAAAAAAGAAAATATTTCCTCGCTCAAAAAATAAAATCCTAATGTTGATGTGATATAAGTGAAATACTCTTGAAGTCAGTGTGAAACCTAAACTCACTCAACTTATATTTAGTTGATATAAACAAAACAAAAGAGTTAACATGGAAACTCATGTGGGTTTTTGCTTTGACTGCTTTTTCTTCTTCTGTTTTTTCCTCCTGCTGTTAGGTTTTCTGAGGACAGAAATCCATAAAACAAGAAATAAAATTGGTCTGGCCTAAAGTTATCTACGATATTTGGGCATGGCAAATTCCTTGTATACAACACCAAACTTCATCCACCACATTAGTGATCATGCTGAAGTTTCTCTTCAGATGTGTCTGACTTAGGTTCATCTTTACCAGCAGTGTTATTTATACTGTCATATGCATGTGCACATTGTATATTTATATTTCGAAGTAGTTAAACGACCTTTTTACCAGTTGACTGCAATCTCAGGTATTTCACATTTGGAAGATCTACAATGAGACACCTTATTGTGTATGTCCTTGTCAATATGTGATACTGGATTGCTTCATTAACCAAACATTTGCTGATTACTTACCAATCTCGCAATAATATTGCCAGACCATTAGTCTGTCATTTTCATTTTAAGTTATTCTCACACCAAATTAATTTTGTTTATACCTAGATGTTATTTTCTGTTAACAGTTAGCAGAGATTCAGATTGATGCGGGTTAATGTGACCTACTATCTGGGAAGTTACATATGAGAAATAATGGTTCAAGGAACCATATTGCTCAATATTGATGGTCATATATACAGGGACTAATACCCCATGTCCCTCTCAGTCTGAAGCACTGAATTAATTTAGGTGATGTAGTGTACATTAGACTGTGAGAAAATGTCAGCCACATTGTAGAATACTATCTGTACTGGTTGTGAAGATAAGGTTTGATATTAAGCAGTTTTATAATAATGTTGACCCTCATAATTAAAAACACAACTTTGCCATAATTGTTGTTTGATGAATGGTGTGGACTTGTTCCATCCACACTTTACAACTGTTTCTATATGTAGGGATAATGGTATAACCTGCTCACGCGTTGAATACATGTTGATATTACTGTTGGTAATAACTGTCATAATGCTACGGAAGGTGGGATATTGTTGTGCACAGAGTTCGAAATTAAGCTTGTTATGTCTGGCGTCCCAGTGAGGACCCTAAGTTTAACCTTATGCATTTACGGGGTCTATTGGTTAAGATATTACAGCAGAAAACCTATGGCCCCTGGACTCACCTTAGTTTCGAACGCTGTGTGTGTATTTATTGTTTAACTCTTCTATTCAATAGAGTTATGAAATATGAGAACATAATTGCCTATCAGTGTTATAATTACTGCAGCAGCCATGCGTTATGGACAAGACAGTGTGATACCATATTTGGTGATGGAATTCTGTCCGTCATGCTTATGTATGAAGGTAACATCAAGAAAAACAGGGTAATTTGGATGAAACATGGATAGTGCTGATGCATTGTAAATTGATAAAGGCTTTTTGGCCTTACAAGGGCTGTAATAGTACTTAGTCACAAGTGCTGACTCGACACAAAGGTCAGGATATCATGCTGGACGTGAAAATTATACAGTTGTGTTATAAAGGCACCATTTTTTGTCATCAATAAGAATGCCAGGTAAACCAAAACCTGTCCAGTAAATATGAATCATTAAAGTTAACAAGCTTTCAGAATTGTTGTCTTACTTTAGAATACAGTTTTTCAACCATGAAAGATGCTTGCTGTATGTTCATGTATCATGTCAAACAGATGCATGATATCATATACTTCACCATGTCCAAAAGAGCAACATTGACTCATATTTCAGAGATGCCAACTTCTACGATTTTATCGTAGTCGCTACAAATTTTAGGATCAAACTACGTCAATACGAATGCGCTAGAAATGCTACGGCATTTGTAGAAAATTCATTAAAATTCACATATATAGACAAAAACATATATTTTCGTTGATTATTAAAGACGCCGATTCGCCAAAAAGAGATGACAAGAAGAAATGTAATGCTGATAATTTGGAAATCTGCTGTTGGAGGAATGTGAAATAAAGCTTCACTCTTGATTAGTGTCATATTATCTTTCTCAGAATCCATCATGATTTTAAGTATTTAGTTGTCAAACTACTAAGTTTGATCCTTGAAACTGCTATTTGGAACACTTTGGGGTTGGCATCTCTGATATCTTTGACCCCCATACAAACACATGATGTCCATATCTTGATATATTTGAAGGCTACTACTGTGGTCAAGTTACTTGACTGCCTGTCATCCGTGTGATATTGGTACCAATATTGAAAGGAGGTATTTCTGTCAATGATTGGAGATGTTAGCATGTTGGTAGAGCCCTAAAGAAGCCTCAACATGTACTGAACTGAATCTGATGAGCATAACACAGATAACTGCTATAATATATATACAGTGTTGGTCATTGGTCACCTCATAACTTCTAAGCTTGGGAATATTGTTCTCAATTCAGGGCATTATAGATGTGTAAATAGTCTCGTATTACCCGACGTAAGTGTGCTACTGAAGGCCAGTGCTAGTTTTATTTGCTGCTGATTTAGGTTGCATAGTTCGATCTTTGTTTTGCATACGTTAAACCCATCTTTCATTTGTAGATTTGAAATTTGTAAATAATATTCATTATGTTTCTGTTAAAGGTAATGAATTGACAGAAAACATTGCTTGTATGAATTGAGTGTTGGTAGATAATTGTTTTGAGACTATAGTTTGGCATGGGTCTCTTTCATTCCATCGGTATTATAGTTTCTCTCATCTTGAGTATGTATCCGTGATGAGATCAGGAACAATGTCTCTCGTGTTGACAGCTAATGACACATATCCACAGAAATATGGAGCTTTTATATTATATTCCTTTCAAATAAATAAGTAGAAAAAGTGGAACACTAAATTCACCTTTTCATTTTACTGCGGTGATTTTCTTTGTGTGCACACTTTTTTGTTGGAATACTCTCTTTAGATTCATTAATTCAAATGTTTTGTTTTTTACCCTTTTGGCAACATTTTGGCAAGAATGGAAACCTCAAAAAATGCAAAAATCACAAATCAACAAACAAATGCAATGCTAGTGCTACTTTGAACTGAAAGTCCATTTTTTGTGGTTGAGTAATTGTTTTAGTAAATTGGTTCTTATCTTTGAAACAAACCTGCATGGCATTACAACTGTGTTAAGTGTCATTTCAGTACTTGATTTATTTTCACTTGAGAAAAAGACAATAGTTGGTTGTAGTATGACTAGTACATTCACTAAAGTGACAGATTTTCATATTTAAGCAGTTAATAGGCCATGTTCAGAAATTGTTTTGGTAGAAATATTTTCAATGCAAGTGTGAAATTTAGCATTATAATTTTAGTAAACTAAAATGTTTCTTATAGAAGTAAACTTTGCAAGTACATAAATCATTACTATCATTGTGATAGTTAGTGGTTATAAATTTGTTTTCAGAAGCTTATGTCAGACTTGTCCGTAGTATCAGAGTATTCACAGAGTAGCACAATGTATAGCAGCCAACTGTTAAACTCTCATTCCAGCTTTAATCATTGTTCTACCTCCATTGAAATGATACCACACAATGTGAAGCAAGCTGTCATCAGAGGATCAGAAGAGGACGGAATGAAACATTCATTTGGCAGCTCAGGTTGCCCATTTTGCATGTTTAAACAATAACTGCAAAAGAAATGGTTGAAAATATGTTGCATGCTTTGTGACTTTGGGTAGAATGATGCATTTACATATTTGATGAACCATGTGGCCCATGTTAAATGTTTATGTTTCAAGGTTTATCAGCACCAGGCCCTAATGGGGCAGAGTTGTAGCCAAGGCTAGTGGTTAAAGCCTTTGCTTCAATTCACCACCTGAGTACAATGTGTCAAGCCCATTTCTGGTGTCCCCGACCGTGATATTGCTGGAATATTGCTAAAAGTGGAGTAAAACCACGCTCACTCATTCACCATGCCCCCCCAATTTAGCTGCCGTGATATGACTCAAATACTGTTCAGTGGCTTAACGTTAAACCCCACTCACTCACTCCAGTGATAACTGTATATTTGTCACCCTCCTTGTTGGTTTCACAAACCTGGGGAGGTCACAGATGTCCTTTCTCCAATTTTCTGTCCCAGATTTGCCCTCATTATTCTTTTTGGTTTGTTGGTACCATCCCTATGATCATAGATTTTGAGCTCATAGATTTTTTACCACAAATGGTAAATGTCCAACACCTGCATTACATATGGATTTCCCCCTACACTAAGATGACCCAGCATCATGTTGTAACTAAATTACTGACCGAAGCTGTGTTAAACCATACCCACAAAGAAGACCTCACAGTAACATAGTGTTAAGTACAGTTGTCTCGGGCTAACCGAAGATGTATAAAATAGGTCAAATCAAGAGAACAAATCTATGACATAAGAGAAGAGTTTGCAAATCAAACCATTTGTTGCTTCATGCGAGACCACCAAGCTCTGGAAAAGCAACAACATGCATTCCTTTAAACTTTGCCAGCTCTGGAAAAGCAATGGCTTTGGTGGTATCAACATGCATAGATTTGACAAGTCAAATGTCCTTTTGTTAGCAACCTGGTGTAAATACCCGCACCTTGTTTGTTTACCAGTAATGCTTCTTTCTTAACATGACAACAGGTATTTTCTTCAGTAAAATGAACAATCCCTTGGAACATGTGGAGATGGCAGGTGAAACATTTTGTGCCAGGTTGACAAATTGCTGATACTATACAGGTTCTGATAATTACTATTACCAGAATAAAACTTATTGTATCATGACAAGACTAGAATGCTGTTAAAGAGACCCACTCAGGCATCTATGTGTGATTGTCTTGTTATAAAGCAATATATCTGTATATTACTGCATGATATGTAAATTGTATATATACACCAAGGCTTATTTTCGCAAGCACTGTTGAAAGTTTTGTCTTGTATTGAAATAACTATTTTCCGAGTGATTACTTTTTACACAG